AATATAAATAAATAAAAAATCAATATTGAGCTTTCCAGTGATGATCACAGGATTGCATGCCGCGGTGGCTCGCACTGCTGCTGCAGCAGGGTGGGCACCAGGATGTCCTGGACTAGATTCGGCAGCATACGGGAAATGGATTCAGGAATAGACAGGCTGGAATCGGAGGCAGGAGAACAAGCAGAGTCCCACAGCGATGCTGGACACGAAAGAAGAAGGACTGACCCCTGTGATCCCTTAGCTTTATACCAAGTATGACGCGTATGGATGGAATAATTTGTTGGTCAGTTTTTGGTCACCTGTCCTGTCTACTCCTTCCTGCAGATGCGACCCTTTTACGCCTTTTCACTTGTGGAACGTAAGAGAGCCAGCAGTGACCTTGGTTCTCACAGGGATAAGTATAAACTTGGACCTTTCTGCATACTGATCCTACCATTACTTTAGGAACAACCATAATCATCAATAATTATCAATTCTGAAAGCAGACACTGTCTGAAAAACATGTAGTCAACTTTAGAGAGTGCAGTTACTTATGAGAAACTTAACTGAAGGAAAATCTACTGAAAGGAGAATGGGTCCTGTTTTAGTCAAAACCAGGACATACACTCACCCTTAACTTTCAGGTTGATTGTCTTGTAGTCGGCTCCCCCATAGCCAATAAGACAGCGATAAAACCCTGCATCTCTGAGCTTCACATCAGCAATGTGAAGAAGAGACTGTCCCAACTTCAGACTCTCTTTCAGCAATTTTATTCTTCCCCTAAAGTCACTGTGCTGACTTTTGAAGTCTTCCTCTCCTTTGAGAAGTACATAAACCTGCTTCTTTAACTCATCTTTCTTTTCCCAGCTGACACTTAAATCTCTAAACTTTAATTTCCCATTCACTGGAAATGTGCATTCCATGGTCACATTGTTCCCATGTTCCACAGTGTAGAGTGACTGGGGAGCTTCAACCGTGAATAAAGCTGAAAAAAAATTTGGAAGAAAACTTAATTTTCCAATTATAAACTTGATCTTCAAAGTCATGTCTTACCATATACATAGGACATTTTAAGGACCAAAAGTATCTGCTCTGTTCAGAAATGTTAAATGTTTGTGCATGCACTCGCCCAAGTTTGGGACAAACTGGGCTATTTATACCTGCAGATACCTGCTTTGTGCACACCCGCAGTGTGATACCGTACTGAAAAGAGGTGAATGTGCGTGCACAGCTCCTCAGCTGTTGCTTTCAGAACACTGCCACTGTAACAGGCAATTGCTAGTGCCTCAGATGGAATGTTCTGCTTATATAAATGTCAATTGTTTTTACACACAATGTTAAAGAATACATGACAATTCCCACATTTCACCACACCAAGAAAACTTCGTGTAATTCAAATGGTACATTGTCTGAAATGGTGTCTATGCTGAAACACTGACAAGGATTTCAATCTGCCACACATCAAAGCTCACATATTAAGCATACGTATCTAGTTTAATATGAAAGCATGGTAAGATTTTTTTATTTAAAACAGTAAGGAAAAAAACTCAAATGCTAGCACCTGAAGGAAAATGGAGGAATTAACATTTCTGTACTTATACATGGAAAGGAAACATACTTAAACATTTCTACTGCTTCTTACAACTCAGCTGCTTACCATTTAGGAAATGCCAGTAGAATAAAAATATATACAAAAGCAAAGGCTTTTCCATGATGTAGATAGAACCTAAAATGACAAAATAATAGACAATAGATATAAATATCTGCTCATTTTCTACCGTGCACTGTAAAATACATTTTGTAGTCACTCCACACAATGAACTGGACAGAAGGCACTGAATTCCACTCTAGCCGAAAACATGACAAAATTGTACCTTTAGCTACAGTAGATGATCAGGCAGAAAGCTTCCTGCCTGGGTCCAGGAAGAATGTCCAATTTTATTTGCTTTAAATATTTGTCCTTGGTTATGGCAAAATATATGCTTTATCGCTCTCTGTCAATTAGTAAATAAATACTCAAAAATATGCCCTAAACTGTAGCAGGGAGTGTTGCTCCTGCTAGGAGGAGAATGGAGGAGTTTTCTATACGCATTCAGTAGCAGAAATAGAACTTAGTTCTTCCCCATCTGTTTGCCTTACTTTAACAGACTGCAAACACACCCTGTTTTGTAACACTTGGTCTCACAGTACTTATCATGGGGCTCATGAAATTACCTATTTTGTGAACGGAATTCATGCAGTAATTAATCACTTAACAAGTATTTACACAACAGTGTCTTTGTAAAACAGTGACAAAAACAGCCTACAAACAAAACATATTTTCTTGAATTTCTGCTGCTTTACCTCTGAACAGGTAAATTATTTCTATTTTCTGTCAGAAGGTTTTCCCTCTTTATTGACATAGCTTTTATACTTCTACACAACGCTTTAACATTATAAAACACTGATTAATGTCAATCCATACACTTAACATTCACACACCCACTGCGCTTGCTAAGTGTGTATTTTAAGTCACAGCAACACTAATATCAAACAGTGCCATCATTTTTCAAATTACCATGAAGAAAAATTCAAACTCACTGTAATGGAAGTCTTCTGTGAGTACAGAGAACTGTAGAATTTTATCTAAATAAAGTCCTAATTTTGGATACCCTAACAGCCACAAAAATAAGGAAAGATTGCCTTCAACTGTTTTCTACTGGTAGTTTCTGCAAGAAATTAGGCAACTGTAATATCCATCACACTTCCTGACTGATGAAACTCTATCCGGACTACAACTCCTACCACTTTTGGTAAGACATTTTGTCTTCCTTTCTCTGGTTGTCAACTTTAAGATGATAATAAAGTAACAATATTGTCCTGAGTCATAAGACACTTGTATCTTTACAGTGTTGTGGCTTAACGGAATTAAATTCCTGATAAGAATTTGATTCAAGCTACTTTTTTCCTCAGATTGCCGCTGCCTGATCCCAATAGTAGGTTTACAGAAGGCAACACAAATGGTGCTGAGAAAGGGAGTCAATCTAATACATTGTTAGGCAGACATGAGCAATTACAAAAGGATGTTCTGCTAACAGGGACGGGAAAATACAAATAACGTCCTCAGGGTGAAAGATCTGCTTCATTGATGAATAAATCCCAGGTTTCTTAATATGGTTAGGTACCCAATTAATTCCTTAGCCACAAGTGATGTTCTTAAAAGCACTAGCAAACTGCTGCCTAACCCTGTAGGTACCTAAAGAGTTGCTGGTGATGTGTATGCATCAGAGTGCTTCCATCATGATGCCACTGCCTGAGTCCAGAGCACCGACTAACCTCCAAAGAAAAGCTTCTCAAACAAGATAGAGGTATATCGATCTCACAAGTGTGCTCTGATCATGCTTATTCTAGAGGCAAGCCTGCAGAAGAGTGAGCCACGGAGACTGACAGGTATAGGTGTGCACCTCTCTGCACTCCCTATGCCAGAACGACCAGAGTTGTAGCACACTCAGCCCCAAAATACTTCCTACTTTTTTTTTAAAGTAGAGGTTGTAGCTGAGAGACTACTCAGAACAAATAACATCTGCACTACAGTCACAGAAGGATACCCATACACATGCATGCAACCCATACCCACTTTTTTGTCAGAAAATCTGAACGTTGGTATGAACTCCAGGAGAGGTGTTCTGATTAACTCCTGGAAGATGAATGACATCAAGTAAGATTTTACAGTTCTAAGACCCACACTTGTATCCTGCAATTGCTGAACTTTAATTTGCATGCTTTCTCCCACTGTAGAGGAAAACAAAAAAAGTATGACTATTACTTACAAAATTCTTCAAGACGGAGAAAGTCTGCAGCTCAATTTTTCAGTTTCAGGGAGAAAAAAAGTAGGTTCAGGTCAAATCCAAATACGCATGAAAAAACCTGCTGCAATACCCGTTAGAGACCCTTCTCCTGTTTCACCCTGAGCAGAAGGATCACCTGGCCGGATCAGTTGAAGCAGCTGAAGACCTAGATGCCAATCAAAGATCTTTACCAAAGCTGCAATCTTCTCACTATTTTTCTTATAGAACCTATCACAATGCCCCTTCTGTCCTCCTGCTGGCTTCTGACATCTGTGGCAAACACAGCTTTATAAAAGCAAAAAGATATTCACTGTGCAAAATGCTCTTCAGTATTGCTGCAGTATGTTTCCCTCACAATCAAATGAAGAAGACAGGAAAAACAGAACTATTTGCCTGAAGACTTCTTGTGACAGAACTTAAATGTTGATGTCACTTCACCTACTTCTTTAGGAAACTTCCCCATTACTGGAAAATTCCCCACTAGGGAAAATTCTGTATTGCTAACAGTGGTTCACTGTAACTAGAGACAGAAATGTTGGGAAAATTAGTACATAAAATGCCACAGGCATTTTAAGAAACATGTCAACTGATCAAAGCTATATGTGAGCAGCAGCCCTTGGAACACCAGTAGCAAGAAGTCATCCATACACAAACTCCGAGTCCCTATAGTATTCATCTCAAGCTGTGCCAAAGAGCTGCTAACAGTGACTAGAAATTTCTGTACAACATACTCATGTCTGCAAAGGTCATAAGTAGGAATAATGGGAAGAGTATTGCCTACCCTTCTCTCTTAAAAACAGATATTCTCTCCTCAAGATTTGAGCACAATGAAGACTCTTTGCCTTGCCACTGTGCAGTGCAAGAAGAGTTGTTAAGCCTATGCATTAACTTAGCAGAAAATAAAGAGCACTGTCTTTTTCTTGGTTCTAGAAGTCACTCAAGAATACAGAAGAAAACCAACTATTAGAAGCCAAAGGATGTACTCACAATTAATTTACGGACAGTAGTGTGATAACTGGGTGAACAGCACAAAATCCAACTTTAAATATATGTTTCAATGTAAGTTCATCCACTTCTGTTGTCTTTGCCTATCTCAAAAAAGGGTTGAGATTCTCGGAAGAGTTAAAATACTGTGAAATGACCAGTTAAAGGTTTTCAGTAAGTATTTTCTTCTTTCCACTTGACAGCCCACTCACAGTATCTGTCATGGAAGCAAAACCACGTAATACACAAAACTGGTAAAAGTTAACCTTTCTGTTTGAAGGGTGGGAGGAACATGGAGAGACAGTGGTATATGAAATAGCTGAATGTAACATTTAGGTTCTAATAACCTGAAACCACCTTAGGAGGTTGAGGGGGTGGATTTCTGCAATAGGTGAGACCGATGAAGGTTAATTTCCACTGCTTTCTTCTATACTTAAAAACAGGTTTAATGATAATTTCTCAGAAAGAAAGATGTAACAAAAAGAAACTGAAACAAATTTGTAAAATACTGACTGTGAGACTACAGAAGCCATTGATGTAGCTAGTTTTCAAGGTCATGAATTGAGTTTCCTCTTTTTCATTGCTTGCCTTGAGGTCACAAGGTTGTTTTTTCCATGTAAATATTTAGTACCAAACACAAAATCCAGGACAGTTTTTTGGTTTTGGTTTGGTTTGTGGTTTGGGTTTTGTTTTGTTTTGTTTTGTTTTTTTTTGGGGGGGGGGTTTATATACATATATACGCAGACACACATATCTATACACGCACACACTTTTTACGGCATAGTTATATACTGCAATTGGTGTTTGTTTGTTTGTTTGTTTGACCTCTGTTCTGCAACAGATTTTCCTGTCTTGCCTGTCATCGGGTACCCCTAAGCAAAACATATGACCGGAGCAGCCTCCAGGGAGAAAACACCCGTGAAGGCTCCGGCAGCCCCCTGCGTCATGGACACGTCATGGCAGGACGAGGTCCGTGCAGAAGCAG